AATATCGCTTATATCGGTCTAGGGACTAAATATTAGAAATATTAGTCTTACCTTAGACTAAACCTAAAAAATATTAATCCTAAGATTAACTATAAGTATATAAAATATGCTTATTATATTTTCTTATATAATAGCTACCTTAGCTATTAATATAACTTAGTTATACTTAATACCCTTAAGTATATTACTAGACGTAATATTATATTACCCTCTAAGGTTATATAATATTCTCCTCTACTAATATAAACTAATATAACTAGTTTATCCCTTAGGAAGTATCCTCTTATTATAATTATAAAAGTCTAACCTCTTATAGGTATTTTAATTATTTTAATCTCTATATAAGAAATAAGAGAATTATTTACCTCTTTATCTTCTTAAGCTATAATCTCTTAATATTATAGCTTTAAACCTAATACCTATAAGAATTATAATTAATTATATAATTAAAGTTACTAGGTTATATAATTATATCGCCGCTACTTAATATAAAAATTAATATCTTTTATTTTTTAGCCTTTTTTATAAGATATATAATCTCCTTTATAATATATAATTATTATTATTTTAGGATATTAATATAATAAAGGTTACTATAGATTAAATTATTAAGCTAAATATTTATCTTAAGCTTATAATCCTAGGCAAAGAGATATTCCTTATAACCTTAGAGCGCCTAGGGGCATTATAGAACCTTAGGTACTTTATATAATACTAAGAGCTATTATTACTTAAAAGTCTTAGGGATAAAGAGCCCGATAAGTACCTATTCGTCGAGGTCATAAAGAGAAATATAGCCTAGATTAATAGCCTATTAGATATAATCTAATAGCTAAGAGAGGCTCGGCGAGAGGAAGACTATAGGTAAAGCGGGGAAGTCGGCTATAGAGGATAGGCTATGGAGGATATATTGCCGGGGCTTAGGGGGGATTAAGGTTTTTAAGTCGCTGAGTTATAGGAGTGATTTAATTATCGGGAAGGAAGAAGGTTTCGGTCGTGAAGATAGAAAGGTTTGGGTGGTGGCTGCTGGGGTGAGTTAACCTGTGAGGAGTATGGGAAGGAAAATATTAGTTAGAGCTTAAATATAATATCTCGGCGAATTGCCAAACTTGTCTAGTTGGCGCATACATCATCTTTGAACACAATGGGTCCAAGCAAGCATCATCAAGTATATAGAACACGCTCACTGCACTTTCTTATATACCAGCTACCTCAACTATCAATACAACTTGGTTACACTTAATACCTTTGAGCACATTACCAGACGTGACTTACACCCTGTTCAAGACAACGCCAGCATCCCCTCTGCTAACATAAACCCAGCACGACCGGTTTATCCCTTGGGAACCTTACGATCGTCACATTATATGTGAACGGCCTCTAGTAACTGTATTCCAGCTATCTAGTCCAGGATGCTGTTTACATTAAAGATGAAGAAGAAAGAAAGAAGTTCTTAAGTGCCCCTGAGCTATGGGACAATTTCCCATCCCTGGCGCGCACGGGCTCAGTACGTCTTGCGGCACAGCCGCATATCAGACAGCGCGCCCTCACTAGGTCACTAATCATAAAAGATAATATTAGGATAATCTTGAGTATATTAATGAGATTCGTTATATTTATCTTCCTAGTTCTTTATTCTCTCTCGTTATCTTTATATCTAAGGGGGTAAGGCTAAGATATTAGACCTGCTAATCCTATAATAGATCTATAATGCTATTCTAATAATTAAGGTATTATGGGGTGATATCTTCCCTTAAGGTGGCTGCCTATATAACATTATTATGCATGCCACTTCTCCAACATATACCTATCTTATGACGGTCGAGGTTCCCAACTGTTACGAGTAGGAAGATCAACCAGTCTTGCCCAACACATTTCAGAGCCATTGCTGTCAACATGCATGACACACGTGTTCTTTTACGCCAAGGGGGCTTTTATTTTCGCAGATAAGGTCTATTTGAGGAGCATGAATGCATTGCTCTATTGACTCGGTGCTTATTCCAAGGGATATTGACATGAGAAGTATACGGCTTACTCTGCTCTATACGATCGCACCCCATTCTACGCCATGGAACGTATCTGTGAAATTGAAAGACTCCAATATGCTGTTATTCAGGACACTTTGTCACTATGGACGACTACCTCAGTTCAAGGTAAAGTTTCCACGAAGCTGGATATCCAAAACACTCTTGCCCACCATGACGTCGTACGAACCCCTATTAAGAACCCACTGCTGCCTAACGGTATCCCAGGAGCTGAGGTCACGCCTCTGCAGGGGGAACGTGAAATTGTTACTCGCTCCTGGGACAAGCGTCTTCTTCTCGAAACCGCGGAGGACCTTGGATGGCCCGTCTCCAGGGAGATGCAGGTACAGCTGAGCAACCTCGGCGGATGTAAAGTTGCCCGTGTTCTTAATTGTACAAGTTACGGAACCAATTTGATCCCAGAGGGAGCTGACCCCACCTTCCAACACGATTTTCGGGTTAGGTGGGAGGAGACTGGCAGACTCATCAACATCGACCATCAGGTTGGAGTATTCAAATGTCGTGTAAGTCAAACCGAATCCAAATTCGAACCTCGGCTTGATACCATAATGTTCAAAGTGCTTATAATCAATAAAGACACCTTCAGTAAAGTTGCTTTGAGGGTAATACGGTGTCTCATGACTCGGAAAGCCCGGGTCTAGGATAGATCCATAGTCCGACTCTTGCTTGGCTATCGTGTAGGGTAGTCTCCCGGATGGAGACTGTCTTCCATACAGGATCTCTACCAAGGCACGACCGGAATCTTGACCTGGAAGGTGGGCCATGATAACGGCCGTGACGTTGGGGTGCTCGATCCAAGGGTCAACAAGCCGGATGCCTGCTGCGTGCACCACAACCATTGTGTTGCGGCACTTGGACGCCACAGATGTGACGAGATGATCCGAGTAAGGGTCGGTCAGGTTTTTGCGGTCGTGGCTCTCGGACGCCATCGCGTTAATGAAGACCAAGCAAGCTTCGGAAGCTGGGTTGACGTTTGGGGTGAAGGATACCGTGTCCCAAAAGAGAAATGTTCCATCATCGTATGCTTGACGCTTCAGTGCATCCAGAGGTGCATCGATTACGCCTGTCGAAGAACCAGAGCCTCCACCAGAAATAAGAGTTCCGTTGAGGAAGACAGAAGGCCCAACTTGGCTCATGTCTAGGCTCGCGCCGAAAAGCGAGAATAGGGTATCGTTGGTGAATAGACTACCGTTAAGGTAGCGTTGGCCACCTCCGAATCCCATCGCCCAAAGTGTGAAGGGGTTAGGATCGGGCGTGTTCAGGTTCTGTGCTGCAGCGTCGTACCCAAACACGGAGAGGAAGCGAGGCTTCTTCAGAGGCAGAGCGTTGTTGACGTTTTTGACGAGAACATGGCCTTCGATGGCGCTTTGCAGGATGACGGCATTGGAAGTAGGATCTCGGGCTTCGATGTAGTCATGAGGCTTTGTCGGGTCGATGGGGAAGCCAACACCAGGCTTGGTACCATTCAGAGCACCGTACTTCAGCCAAGAAGCAACGATACGAGTCGCCATGTCGTCAAGACGAGAAGCATCCACTGAGCCATTGTTGACCATCTCAACCAGACTGCCCTCCTTGCCGTTCCACAGGGGAGCCACTGGCATGACAACGTCCAGGCCAGCATTGGCGCTCGCCACGCCACTCTTGTGCTCATACCAATCCGTGACGACAAAGCCCTGGAATCCAAGCTCTTCCTTCAAGAGGCCGTTTATAAGCTTACTGTTCTGGCAGGAATAGCTGTTGTTGACACGATTGTAGGCGCACATGACAGATCCAGCTCCTGCGTGAATAGCATCGTACAAGGGCCACAGGTAGAGTTCGTGCATCGTCTTGTCATCGAGATTAGACGAGACAGAGGCGTTGAACTTGTGGGGAAGAAACTCGGGAGCCTTGCGGCTGGTTTCTTGTTCGTTTGCGATTAAGTGCTTTACACAAGCAATGACCGACTTCTGTAGACCCTGGACCGTCGGACGAGTCAAGGCGCCCGTCAGGTAAGGGTCGTTGCTCGGAGATTCCCAGTTTCGTCCTCCCTTGACGACTCTCCCCAAACCACCGATCGAAGGGGCCAAGGCGACGTTGGCTCCCTTGCGCTTGAACTCCGCTCCCAGATGAAGAGCTCTGGCGTAGGCTAGTTCTCGGTTCCAGCTGGCGCCGACGTGAAGGCCTGCGGGATACGAGTTGACGCCCTCCTGCGCCCGCACTCCGGCGCTCGCATCGGCGTAGCATAGGCCAGGAACGTTGAGGCGTGGTACACTGCCACCATTTCCGCCACAGCCGTTGATACCTTCGTAGCCACTGGTGAGGTTTGCTTTTTCTTCGATGGTCATTTGGGAAACAAAAGACCCAGCTTGCTTGAATGCTTCCTGCCAATCACCCAGACCAGTAGCGGGAGCTGAATGGATAAGTATAAGTCTCACGGGGTGCAACAGTGACTGATTGGTGAATAAGACATACGAGAAGGGTAGACAGGAGGTGAACGGCCGTAGCTCCAAAACCTCTCGAGCTCCTCGTGACAAGAGGCGCGCTCGTTGGCGCATTGGACCGCATAAGCGGGTGCTCCCAACGCAACTGCAAGAACTACAAGAAGATTCATGGTGTAGCCAGGTACTGGTGGGAGTTGATTTGATTGGAATGAAGAAAGGGCGTTGAGGCCATGTAGATCTTGTTCACATCATGACCGTAGGTAAGCTTCCCTCTTTATAATGGATAGGTTGGGCATCCCCGTACCCCGGAACCCCACGGTAATAGTCATGAATGGTTCTACAAAACCTGGAAAGCAAGGTCCACTTGGCGATGCCATTCTTTCGGGCCTTTGGCCAGAAAACATGAGGTGAAGTGGGAGCATGGCCGCGGCTAGTATCTAGCCCTGGCCTGAAAACATGGACTGCCAACATGGAGAGGTTCAACGGACGTCGGTTGGAGAACTAATGCATTCTAGGCTTGCAGTAGGACCGAATAATGGAGTCTGAAGGCGGAGCTGTCTGTGACTTGGGTTCATGGATCTGGGGTAGACTGGAGATGCCGCGACAACACGATCACACGAGCGAGGTTGTTACATGGTAGGTTCCGGGGATCAACACGATCCAAGCACTTTGGGATTAGCGCCGGCACGATTCTGCAAATGAGACTCGAGAAGCTTATTTCGAGTCCTTGCTAGCTCCTGAACCGCCATTGGCTATGAATTAGCCGTTCTCGACAGGGGGGAAACTCAAAAGCCGCGGAGTTTTCCAACACTCGCTCCCATCCAACCTCTTCTAAACCAACCATCCCATTTTTTCTTTTTCCTAGAAAGCTCCAATGCTGTCAGATTCGGACTCGTTCTTAGGGGAGCATCGGCTTCCATTGGACAGCCCGGAGACCTCGACATCACCTTTTCCCATCCCGCACCCTGTGCCAATCACATCGGATGTTCCAGTTCGACGGCCAACCCGAACTCTCACCTCAAGGGTGAGCTTAAGTTGTGATTCATGCCACAAAAGGAAGATCAAGGCAAGTGATCAAGACATGCTCTAGTGCGCCCAAATTCTAACCGTCCTGGCCGGTAGTGCGATGCTAGACAACCATCATGCGCAAATTGCCAAAACATTGGTGTTCGATGCCAGACGCTACGAGCTCTTAGCAAGCGTGGCAGAAAAGCCCGGAGCCGGTTACCTGATACAGAAGCCTTGGCCCCTCTCCGTCCCGCCTTGCCAGAGACACGGGACACGGCCGCGGATGTTGGAACTGCCGCGGGTAATTTGGACCATGGCCTTGGGCTGCAGCATCATGGCGTGCCCGGTTCTCGCCAAGATTGGCGTCAAGCGTCTTTCGGTCCGAATCCAGAAGCTTCGTTGAGAGTATCTTGCGCTTTACCCTGCTCTGAGAACTTCAAGTTTCACGTCTGGCTGCAAGACTTGTCCAGAGATTTGGTGGCCGCCAATGTCGACGCAGAAAGTGTCATCTCCTATATGAAAACCTGCGTCGAATTATTCTATGACAACATCTACCCGATATATCCCATCATGTACAGACCTTCTCTCGACCATACTCTGGTAGAGTTACAGGACCCGGGAGGGGCCTGGGACACAAAATCCTTCATGCTCTCGACCTCAATCTGTGCTTATACCCTTGCGGTTCTGCCAAGTTCAATATCTGGAGCTTCATGGCCAGTTGCCCATGTATTCTACGCAGCCTTCAAAAAGGCACAGAATGAATACGGGCTACAGGATATCGAATGCCTTGACAGCTCTTCCGTGGTCATACATCTCATGCATGCCGCCTGGCACCATGTTTCTGGAAATCCCCAGGCATCATGGTATGTTCTTGGGCAAGCCATGAATACAGCATTGCTGATGCGATTGCACGATGAGAAGACGTATGAGTTAATGCCTTTTGTAGAAAGCCAACTGTGCCGACGTGCCTTTTGGGCGTTGTACACCGGATGTCAGGCATCTTGCTTCCTTGGCGACCATCCGAATATCTTCAACAAGAGCCTGTTCAGGGGTGTCAGGGTTCCGAGGTACCCCGAAGAGTTTGGCCCAGAGGATCAGGCTGTGATAACACAATATGATGGTCGACAACACAGTATTGGCATCCTAACAGGCTTCAACGCAAACCAGGATCTGTGGAAGGCAGCAGAGAATCTCTTACAGGTGGTCCGAGAAGGAGATTCAGTCGATACAGCCACATCGGACAGCCGACTGGCTACTTCATATTTCAGGTTTTGCGCAATTCTCGACGATCTTCCCACAGCTCTTCGGTTTCACAACTCTGTCGACATCACTCTCGAGGGCTTTTCCTTTGCCCAGCAAGGGGACTATCAACCTCGCGTCCCCCAGGCCCTTGCAATACAGCGAACCAACTTGCACATATCTCATCAATATCTGAAACTCTTTTTCCTACGGAATTATTCATTCTTGGGGATTAACAATCCTCTGGCAGCCCCAAAGCTGCCGAACCTATCACCCGGGACAGACTCCCAGATGTCTCTATCGCAGTCAGATTTGATGGCCGCGAGTCCTACGTCTCGACTGTCTTCAAACCGTGGCAACCAAGCTCAACCACAGACCGAGCATGTACAAAGAAGCCTCGGCGCTAGCTTAGACCGTCAAATATTGCAGATCGCCGAAGACATGCTGTACGTCATCCATACTTCTGGCCTCAACAGCCTCAGACTGAACGGTGAGCCATGTACCGAGAAGATTCGGCATGTAGCTGCATCTGTACTGGAAGTGCTTGCGAAGGACGTCGTCGATCCCTCTTTGTTGGAGCGTGCGGTCAATCTTCGAGACCTATATCCGCATCTTTTGGCGAGGCTGGAAAGCAAGGCTTCTGATGAGCGACGCTCTACAGCAGCTGGAGGCTCCAGTACAAATACTTAACCTTGTCACAGAAGCTAACGATGATTTAATTGGGATTTGGTGTTTATGGCAATATCGATGTCAGGAGCAGGTTTTAGGGAATAATAGATCTTGACAGCGCCTAACCAATAGTATGCATACAATATTGCTACCTCCAGTATCTGCCAAAGGCATACCCATGCCATATCCAAGGAGCCATTGTCAGTGCAGATGAACAGCTCACAACTAGTAGCCCTTTGATCAATCCTTGAGTTACCCTTAGATACTCGTCTGCATCATCCTGACCCATATTCTTCGGGCGAACGTTCTCCACGAAAACGACTTCCACAGCAACCGGAAAAGCCATCGTAGCTGAACTTGCTATCCAAGCTAAACAGCTCACATGATTGGTTATTGCATCCAATGTTGGAGGACCAAGGTAGAAGAAGAAGAAAAGGGTCGTCAGTGTTACCCCCAAGTCAATGGTGCCGGTGAGTACGGGCATCCATGGGACGAATATCAACTCTAGTAGGCAATTGCGACTTAGGTCTTCACGACTACCACTAATTATCATAGCTAAGTATGGTTTTTATATATACTTTACTCGTCTAAAAAATATAAAAAAGAAGCTTTATTATCCTTAGATCGATATTACTGTCGCGGCATGTCATGGCATATCGCGATATAGTAATAATCGATTGAGCGTTATATTTCCTATTATAGAATAGTGTAATATATAATATCAGACCCCTACTTTTGGCTAGCCCCCCCCTTTGGCCAGTCGAAATTGCCTTAATACTAAAATATATATATTATATAAATTAGCGATTTCTTAATAAAAAAAAATATAATTAATTTAATTAAACCTAGAATATACTCTATAGGCCTTATATTTCTTTCTTTATTACTTTAATAGAATTCTCTTATAATTTAGGTGCCTTATAGTCGCGGTATTTTATAAGTGCTTTTTTAGTCTTATAATAAGTATATATAATTTCCTTAATATATATAAACCTCTTATTAGGGTTATAATTAATAGCCTTCCTATTAGTAGGCTTTTATAACTCTAGCTTATCCTCTAGGAACTTAATTCTTTACTTCTAGGTAGCGATAATATTATTTAAATAAGTAATTTACTTATTATTCTATTATATAAGAAATTAGGCTTTATATTTAATATTACTATTACTGTATCGCGCTTAATCTAGCCGTTTTTTAATATCTTTATTATTTTTTAGCGTATAGAGATTATTATAGGCTAGTGGCTTTTACTTCTTTAGTATTAATAGTATTAAATCCAGGGGGGAAAGGTACTTAGTATTAATAACCTTCTTTATTAGCTTCTTAATATTAATAAGATAAAATCTTATACCCCGGAATAAATATTAGATATTCCTCTCGGTTAAGGCTTTCTTTTAAGCTATCTTATAAAAGTATATAAAGTATTATTTCTAAATAAGAGACTTAGCTATAAAGGTTATATACTTAGTAGTCTCTTAGTAAAAGAATTATTTTAAAATCACAAAAATACTAATATGAAGAGGTTATATTATATAAGATAAATATATTAATAAGTAAAGAAGCTATACCTTATTTAACTAAGCTAAGAATATAATCTCAACTATAATATAAGAGCTATAGCTATTAAGAATAAAAAGTCTTTATTTCCTAGGAGGTAACTTAGTTTTTAATAAGAATATTTCTATAATAATTATTTATATTCCTAAGGGATAAACTAGTTATACTAGGTTTATATTAATAGATAGATTAGTCGCGCTATTCTTAAATCAAGGGGGGTATTATATCTAATAATATACTTAAAGGTATTAAATATAATTAAATTATATTAATAACTAAGGTAATTAATATATAAGAAAGTATAAATAAGTATATTTATATATTAAGGTCCTTAAGATAAATTATAATAGATTATAAGCTATAGGTTATAATCTATTATAAGCCTTCCTTAGATTATATATAAATTATTATTATTTAACTTTATTTTACCTAAAAAGGGGATTAAAGTATCTTAATTAAAATCTTAGTAAGTTTAATAATAAAGGCTCTATACCTAAAGCCTAAGGTCTTAATAGGCTCAAATTAATAAGGTTTATCTATATAATTATCGATACCTTTAATAATAGCTCTATTCGCAATGAACAGATTATATCTTAACTAGCTAAAGAGGTTAATATCTAACCTCTTCCCGTGGCAGCTCTCCCCTCCATCATCGACCTTCCGATCATCCTTGGGATTCTTAACCACTTGAAGAGGTATAAATCTTAAAGGATCACGCTTCTATTATCCTTATAAGAGGAAATTTAACTAATAACTAATAACCATAACTAATAACTATAACTAACTAATTAACTAATTAATAACCGGCTAATTAGTTAATAATATAAAAGAAGATTATAATAGCTACTTTTCGTAGAGACCTCTAATTAAATAATTATAGTAGCGCGGCTAATGCCTATTAGTAGGCCTTTTTATATAATTAAGATAACCTTACCGAAGAGGTTTATAAGCTTTATAAAGGCGCAAAAAGTACTTATAATAGGCTATAAGAGATAATCTTATATAGAGCTATTTAGAGTATTAATTTAAGCGCGCTACTTAGCGATCTAATGCTAATTAAGCTCGCAATCTTTAGTTATAACCTTTTTCTTTTTTTACCTAGCCTCTTCGCATCTAATTCTTATACCTATATAAGGATTAATTTTATTAAAGAAGAGCTTTTTTTGCTTAAGGCTCTTAAGATAGAGATAAAAAAAAAGAAAGATTTTATTAATAAAAAAAAGAATTTCCTTAAGGATATAAATAATAATTAGCACGGGGCATAGCTCATAATACTCATAATAAGTATTAAGACTTTCTATACCGCTAAATAAAGATCGAAGAAGTCTTATAGCTAGCTAGGATCTAGCTACGTAGCTATAGGCGCAACTATATTGGGAAATAGAGGTTATTGAGGTTATTAGTATCATAGGTTTACTCAGAGGGATTAGTTCCTAGAGTCGGCGGCGGAGTTCAAACCTAAAAAGTATTGGCGCTAGGGCTCGGCGCTAGACTTAGCGGTAGATAAAAGTCTATAGGTTTAATTAATTAAACCTATCCGGTTAAATATATAATATATAAATATCGGCTCGTGTAAATATGCGAATAATAGTAAGTTTAATAGTAATTTTAATAATAATATATATAAATTATAATATCTTAATATAATCTATTATAATCTTATAATAATTAATTAATATAATAAATTATCCTTTTATTATATAAATATAAATTTATCTAAGTTATAATATAATATCTCCCTTCTATTAATTTTATCCTTAAGGCTATATCTATAATCTTATATTTATTATTAATATATTCTTAACTTAGACCTATAAAAATTTCTTATTAATATATTTAATTACTTATCCCTTTTAAAAAAATATTTAGTTATTATTAAATTAAGTAATATTATTAATTATTTTAATTTTTAAATTATATTATACTCTTTTTATTATTCTTAAGGTTTATACTATATAGCCTTACCTAAGAAATCTAATTACTATAGCGAATATACCTATTAAGGCTATTCTCATAATATATTAAAGAATATATTAGGTATATATATATAATTTATTTTATATTATAAGGTTTTTTTATTAATTATTCTAATAATTTATATTAATAAAGAATTAAATTATTTAGACCTTAAGGAAAAATATATTAAAACAGATTTCCTTAGATTATAATAAGAGGCTTAGGAAATTTAAATAAGGATAAATAAGGTTTTAGCTTATTTAATTTATCTTTATTACTAAAAGTATTAGCTATATATTAAAGGTATAAATATAATCTCTTATAGTCTTTAGTCTTTAAATAAATTAAAGGAGGCTAAGAAGATAAAATTAGAGGCTATAATTACTATATAATTTATAGGTATTATAGATATTATTAACTAAAGTATTATTAGCCTAAAATTTATTTCTCTTTTTAATATTATTAATAAGAATTCTTTAAAAAGTATTATATACCTATAAGGTATTCTAAGGATTCTTATATATTTTCTAAGTCTAAGTAATTCT